GATTTAGAATATGTATCCTACAGGATATAACGGATCTTGGGGATGTGAGGGATGTAAGAGACCTAACTGAGCTAATGGAGATTTAAGAGATCTAAAAATATCTACGGTGCAGGAATGACACCTCTCAGTTCCACATACTCCACTAAAAGAGTTTTAAGCGACTTCTAGGTATCACAGCGATTTCCCGTCATGTATTCAGAATCATCGGCTCCAATATCATTATGGACCCAAATCGTGATATTAAACTGTAATAAAACGCATTGAATATTCTTTCAAGCTGAACTTCAACCATTTACTTGATATCAGTAAAGTCCTTTGTTATTACTACTTCCAAATTTTTCTGAGATTTTTAATTTTTGAAGCAAAATACGACTTGGAAACAAGAGGATTCGGATTCATTAAAATGTGACAAGAAATGAAGAAAATGCCGGAAAAGCATTCAATTATAAGCTGGATGTGTTTGTTATAATGTATAGAAGCGTTGAGTGAAGGATTCGTTCACTCAACGATAGAAGTATAAGATGTTAGATCCTACAATTCTTGTATTTTCAGTGGCCCTCCAGTATCAGACACATAAAACGTTTCTAAAATTGTACGACTACACTACACCTACGCTGGAAACAACAAAAAACAAAAGTACTTTTGAAGGAGTACCTATTCTTGCGTAATTTGTTAAAGTCGAAAACTTTTATAGCTACAGTGAAAGCGTTTTATCGTTACTTTGCAGAATGCCCAGCCAAGTCTTTCTATATGTTACGCGTTGCTTATTTTCATATTCGTACTTGAGATTTGTAAATTCCAAGTGCCAAATTTTGTAACCGTTCGGACTTCCCGGTGAGATCATTTAAATTCCCACAAAGACCACCGGTAGCGGTAACGTTATTTAGAAATTACTGATTTAAACATCAACACGGATAAAAAAGAAAGAAAAAAGGGGGTGCCAGTACGCTGGACACACGTAACAATGGAACAATGCACGAAAATAGAACACGAACTAGCGTACTCTATTCAGTCATGTTCTATTAAAGGTAATAATTTTCACTAGTTATGACCTATAGGTACACACCTCAAATAAGGGGAATTCATCTCCCTAAACGGTGAATAATAAACAACACGATCCTATAAAACACCTTAATCGTTTTCAAGTGCTTTCAGGTGTGCTCTTAACACCTCCTCGGAACAATAGCTTCTGTTAGTCGCATTCTTTCTAGGATTTATATACAAAACAGCCTTGTATTTATGCAATCGGTTTTTTCCTTCTACGGTTAGGATGACCGTGTAAACGTTTCTGACACAAAGGGTTGTAATGTGTATGTGTAATGTTGCGGAAAGAAGAAACCTCAATTGCTTAAAATGACACCTATGTATTTATCCCGCGTAAGAACTACTTCTTAAAAACCGGCAGCAATCACTCTTACGTCAGGGAAACTTCATAATAATACCCTGCCTGATGAACGTTTAACATAATTTTGCATTGTTAAGTAAGTGCAAGACTGCATGAGTACCTACTCTCAGCTGCCAGCCTGTGCTGTCAATGAGTACTTCTTTTTTTGATTGATTTTCGAGCTTCATTTTGATATAAAACACTTTTTCGGCTTTTAGTCTTCTTTGTTACACTTTATGCTCAAACCATAGTTCAAGTTCATGTTTCAATAATTTGTAAAACAATGTCAGAAATCATTTTTGGGATATTTCAGAATTATATAAGATCTATTTTGATAAAATTAGCAAAAAAATGACAAAACATTGGGCTGATTCCAATAAAGTTCAAATGCTGGAAATGGTACCGACACGATTGGTTTGAATCGACCGTGTTTACTACTGTAATTTATTAACAATCAGAAATATCCAATGCTCGGAAGCGTCAATTTCGACGGGTCGGGATGAGATTTTCACACTTATCTTTTCATCCATTTTAGCGGATATTTAACTTAAAACTAAAACTATCAAATCTAATAAGTAAGTATAAATTGTACCCAACTCTTGTGCAGATAAAGCGCATTTTTTTAAACCGAAATAGTTTAGTAAATGGTTGGGTTGAGAGTTGGACTGGGTCAACTGGGTCACCTGGGTCACTAAATTAAACTGGGTCACTGGGTCGCTGGGTCACGTCATACTCTTTTCAGTTACACCCAGTGACCCAGTTTGACCCAACTGGACCCAATGACCCAGTTTGACCCAACTTGACCCAGTTTGACCCAGTGACCCAACTTGACCCAGCGACCCAATTTCACCCGGGGACCCAATTCGACCCAGTAACCTAGTTTGATCGAACAACGCAGTTAAGTCAGTGCCCTCGGTTCAAGTGTACAGATTATGAAATAAATGAAATGCTGGTTTGTTGAAAATAATACTCGATTGCTTGACATCTGCCATTTCTGTGATGTTTGCTTTAATACTGCCGCAAAAAACTTTCCATGTCCCGAATTGTATTAGAATACTGTTATTCCTTTGCTTCAGGGCTTACCAGTTTGCTTACAGGTGATCATTCACATTTAATTTTTTTCTACTAGTTAGCTTAATCCAAATAAATCTTTTCTCTAAATACTTTCATTGACTACTTGACTACAAACTATAAACAAATGCATTTGATTTTTTTAGGTATTAGTTCTCTTGAATGAAATTGGGCTACGTGCTTGTTGCCGAATATTATTGAGGAAGTTTTTTTTAAATTAAAAGTTACTTGAAATTGTTTTGGATGATACCTAACAATAATTTAATTACTGGGCCACCGGGTCAAGACGGATCACTGAGTAAAGCTGGGTCAAGATGGGTCACTGGGTCAAGCTGGGTCAAGCTGGGTCACTGGGTCACCGGGTCAACTGGGTCACCGGGGGTCAGTAAACTAACTGGGTCACCGGGTCACTCTATGCTTGACCCAGTCCAACTCTGGTTGGGTTATAGGTAAGGTAGTAGCATGGTATATTTATCGATGTTTACCTTCTTGATAAACATTATGAACCAAAGTCCTTCTCCAAAGCTTTGGGGTTGGAAATGGTTAGATGCTGATTGGTTGCCGTATGGACCACCAAGGCAGCGGATTATGAAGCTATCGAAGAATTGAATAAATGCAGGTGCAGACGAGGTTGTTTTTCTGTAAAATGTTCATGTAATCCTCAACTTTAAGATGTACTCCTTTGTGCAAGAATTGTAAAGAGTTCTGCACGAATTATATGTAAGTATTTTCATTGCAATACAACTAACTATTAATAACACTAACAATATCTATATTATATTTTTATGTCAAATGAAGATGAACATAATATCGATTTTTCTGACGTACAAACTTTCACTTTTAGTTCATTTGTTGGTATATTTTGAAAATATATTTAATTTTAAAAAAGGTAACATCACCATCCCACTAAAATATGACCCCGCACCCTGGGCCTACTGCTGCATTCTCTATAGTCTATACGATGGTACCTAACAGCAGATTTTCAATTGGACGAATTATTTCAAAGTGGCGACTTTCAACTTTTTTTTAATGGAATACCATCATTATTTTTTTATTATTGAGATCCTTAAAACATTCGTTTTACGATAGTATTTCGTTTTTCAAAAAGCAAACTAACATTTCAATCTAGTCGCGCATGAATGTTTTACACTATAGATGTTATTTTTGTCCAAATATCAAGTAGCGGGAGACACAAAAGAAACAATTAAACTTTATTTTGTAATAAACATCTACTTTTTGAAACTCAGCATTATTGATATCAAATAAAATTAGGTAATTTAGGTAAAAACGCCAGAAATGTTTGCCTTCTGTTTTAATACATAAATTAAAACGTGTAGAAAGAACGTTTGTAACTTTAGCGTATTTTCCATGCAGTATACTTTCCAAAAGAATTTTCTTTGTTGAGGTGCCAAGGCTATAACCTACTGAATGCAAAAAGAATAAACTAAATTTATCTATTGAAAACTGAGCAGTAGTTAAGGCTTCGGACAGACGGACGGGCGGGCGCCTTCCAACACGATTTGGAAAATGCGCTAAAAAAGTTGAAAGTCGCTATTTTGAACTAATTCGTTCAATTGAAAATCTAATATCACCATCACATCGTGTAGAGAATGTCGTGAAACATATGTAATGCCAAATATTTTGAAAGTAGTACCCGTAGTGTGGCTAAAAAAAATAAAGCGCTTACTCTGAAAGATGCTGTATAAGTAAAACGAATAAGGTTAAACATTATTTCAGAAAATATGAAGCGGCTTGCACAAATTTTATTAGCTTTATTTAAGGGTTGAAAGATGTGGATTTAACATCAATCATAATATTGGAGAACTTAGACCTACCCCATAAGTTTGGAATAATCCACCCCTGTTCTGTTTATCTAAGAAAAACGACTAAAAATTCTTTCATAAAAAATGAAGCATGCTTTAGTTCCACAGAAAATTTTGGGAAATGACAACATCAACAATTTTAAATCAATATGTTCTGATATGGATACCCCGCGGTTCTCGTGAATAGCCTACTGTGTATAGTTCAGCCATATATGGATTTTTAGTATATTTTCCTCAAAGTAAAAAATCGCTATTGGTTGCATTTTGTCATCCGTCCGTCCGTCACACGTATACCGGGTGGTGCACGGTAAGTAGGAACATAGGGATTTAACATGGGAAATTAGTTTTATGCAATATCCCGCCCTCCTGTATATTTTACAGAAAAAACTGTAGAGTTTAAAGTTGTTCAGAATTAAAAGGTGCATACAAAACTGTTTTTACATGTTTTATTAAGCTGTAGTATTTCTGTTATTACTAACAATAGCCGTGACTTTTGTTGTTTTATGAATTGTTGTTATATGAAACATTGTTGTTATATGAAAATTGAGAATGTACGCATGATTGTAAGTTATCGCGCCAGACTGCACTCATGGATTATGGTTTCATTATAACATTGTATGTTTGGGTTTGAATAAATGAACATCACAGTTGGCGACGAGAAACCGTATTAGCAAAGTAAAAAGGTCTTAGGGTACCCAAAAAAGTGCGTGAGGTGTTTAGTTATGGCGGCATCTACGTACAATGGCTACATTAGGGAGTTTAACCCTAAAGAGTGTAACTGGACCATTTACAAAGAGAGGCTGTTTCAGTTTTTCATTGTAAACAATGTGGACAAACAAGAGATAAAAAGGGCGTTATTGTTAAACGCCTGCAACGAAGAGAGTTATCAGTTAATAAGTAATCTGTGTGTGCCAAATTCTCCCGATGCAACGGACTTCAAGGCTTTAATTGAATTGTGTGATAAACATTTCGCACCACAAAAAGCGTTGTTTCCAGAACGTTTTAAGTTTTATCACGCAAATCGAAACGTGGACGAAACCATCATGGACTGGGCGGCTAGGGTAAAAAACTTAGCGTCCAAATGTAAATTTGGATCTGAATTAAGTGTTGCGATGCGTGATAAGTTTATAGTTGGCATGGAGGATAAAGCAATTTTGAATCGTCTATTTGAGGAAGACGTGAGTACATTAACGTTAGATAAAGCAATTGATATCGCGTTAAGTAAGGAAGCAGTATTAAAGAACTATGAGGCAAGTGCTAATACGGTAATTAAACAAGAACCCATGGAGGTGTACAAAACTTCTCAGCAATGGGCGACCGACAAGCGTAAGGGGAGCAGTAGCAGCAGCAGTAACCAGAGAGCAGAGGCTGGATCTGCAGGAGCATCCCGTGCGGCGTCCAGAAGAGGAGGGCGCAGCAGCGGTCCACAAGGGAAAGTTGGTCAGGACGCTCAATGTGCTGTATGTGGTAAAAATCACGGTCAAAGTAAGTGTCGTTATCGTTATTATACCTGTAACAAATGTGGGGTGAAAGGTCATTTAATGGCCATGTGCAATTCTACGAAATCGCGCAAACAATTCTTTATTGAGGACGATTTGAATGACGATTGTATTTATAGTATTAAAGGGGAAAATAATCCTATTTTTGTCAGCGTAAAAATTGCAAATTTGTCCTTCACTTTCGAAATTGATACCGGTGCTAGCGTATCAGTTATTTCTTTTGATTATATGCGCAAATATTTTCATAGTTATAGGTTAATTAAGTGCAATAACGTTTTTAAGAATTATACGGGAGGAAAAATGATTCCTTTAGGTTATATTGTTGTACCAATTGAATATAAGGGTGTAATGAAGGATGTTAAATTGTTCGTCTTAAGGGACGGAGGGCCTCCTTTATTAGGCAGGGATTTTTTCTATAAGTATGAATTGTGTATAAACAGCATAAGAATGGAAGGTTTAGAAATGGAAATTTTTAGGGAATGTGAGAAGGTGTTTGCAAACACATTAGGTAAATTTACTAAAGGCAAAATAAAATTGAATTTAAAAGAGGCTGCCATTCCAAAATTTCAGAAGGCTAGAGTTTTACCTTTCGCAATGCGGGAAAAAGTAGAAAAAGAAATTGCGAGGTTAGTCGATATAGGAGTTTTGGTTAAAGTAGATTACAGCGAATGGGGAACGCCCGTAGTTCCAATTTTGAAAAAAGACGGATCCATTAGACTTTGTGGTGACTATAAAGTCACTCTCAACCCATCTTTGCAAGAGGAACCTTATCCTATACCACGAGTAGAAAAACTGTTTGCTAAGTTGTGTAATGGTAAACAATTTTCAAAAATTGATCTTTCGCAGGCCTACTCTCAAATCGAGTTAGATTCAGAATCTCAAATGTTGACAACCATTAGTACCCATAAGGGATTATTTAAATATACAAGGTTGCCATTTGGAGTCAGTTCCGCTCCCAAAAAGTTTCAAAAAATTATGGAGAGAGTTTTGCAAGGTACAGATGGGGTAGTATGTTTTTATGATGATGTACTAGTCACTGGGTCTACAAAAGAGGAACATGTTCGGAGATTAAAAGATACTTTAAAGCGTTTAGGAGATTGCGGTTTAACCGTACGAAAAGACAAATGTAGTTTTTTTCAGGAGAGTATTGAATATTTAGGATATCGTATAGATAAACACGGGTTGCATACGTGTCCTAAAAATATTAAAGCTATTCAGGAAGCGCCACGTCCTATAAATGTGACGCAATTACAGGGTTTTCTCGGGATGATAAACTATTATAATAAATTTATACCGAGTGCGGCAACGGTATTAAGACCGTTATACGATCTATTAAAAAAGGGGGTCATTTTTCAGTGGAATGCCGCATGTGAAGATGCATTTAAAAGGGTTAAAGACATTTTAACTTCTGCGGAGGTACTGATACATTTTGATTCAAGCTTACCCATCAGGTTAACGGTGGATGCCTCTCAATATGGAGTGGGAGCCGTAATTTCACATGTTACTGAGGGTAATGTCGAAAGACCAATAGCATATGCTTCCCAAACTTTATCAGAACATCAAATTCGATATTCGCAAATGGAAAAGGAAGCATACGCTATAATATTCGGGGTTCAAAAATTTTTTCAATATTTGTATGGGCAAAAGTTCACACTTGTGACAGACCATAAACCGTTAGTTACTATATTTGGGCCCAAAAACGGAATTCCCATTATGACGGCAAATAGGTTGCAACGTTGGGCATTAATTCTTTCGCGATTTAATTATAATATCGTATATGTGAAGTCGGACCAAAATGTTGCCGATGGTCTATCGCGACTTCCAATTAACGAAATTAGTGAATATCGAGACGACTACAACTATTTAAACTATGTCAATGATAATTTTACAGTGGATGTGAATCGAATCCGAGAGGAGACAAATAATGACTCTATACTAAGGGAGGTTAAAACATTTGTAAATCGAGGTTGGCCTTCGAAGGTGAGAGAGGAGTTAAAACCATATTTTAAGCATAAAAATTATTTATGTTGCAACGACGATTGCTTAATGTTTGGCTATAGGGTAATAGTTCCTCAAGCTCTTAGATCTAATATTCTCAGTGATTTACACTCCTCGCACATGGGCATTGTGAAGACTAAGAGTCTGGCACGATCTTTTGTTTGGTGGCCGACCATGAATCAGGACATTACAAATATGACTCAGCAGTGCCAGATATGTTTGCAATTCAGAGATTCTCCTCCTGCTGCTAAATTAATTAATTGGGCTTATCCGCAAGCTCCGTGGGAACGTCTACATATAGATTTTTTAGGGCCTATTGTGGGTAAAAATATTTTAATAATTGTAGATGCG